TTGACCTCTATTATCTACATTTTTAAAAACGCCCAAAAACTATTCACACCATCCCCAAAACTAGGCTATTTAGTAAACCCGCCTCCAATAGATTCATTCATTTCATTCAATTTCATTTTATCTAGATTCAACTTTCATTTATCTGTCTCTCAGCACAAATCTCTAACTCGAACAAATGAAATAAAAAATATTTAATATCTACCTTATCTATAATTCAACATCAAAAATGAACAAAAATCGGTAATTTTCAACATTTTTTTTTCTTTTTGTGTTATTTACTGCAAATAAACAATTCTAAAATAAACATAGAATTGTCCAAATAAATGGAAAACAAAAGAAGAAAAAAAAGTAACTATAGACTAAACCGGACTGAACTCAACTAAACTAAGGTCATAAAAGTATATTGTATCCCCCTTTTTGGACACACACACACAGAGCATCATTGTGAACTTCATATTCGTTAAACAATAAAAATAAACACAATATGACCTTTCTAAAAACCAGCAAGTTCAAAATAGTCGCAAACACACACACACGAACATGGAACAATATTGGATTAGTTATGTTCGACTCTATTATGTGAATAATATAAAGTGAAATAGTAATATTACTTTAACTACTCATATAAATGACAACAAAAAAATAGTTTGTTCATTTTTTTCATGTGAGTGTGTGTGTGTGTACATTGGATGTGGGGTTATGTGCCTTCAAATGTTTGAAATAGTACAATGTATGCATATGTATGTATAAGACAATATTGTATAGCATTAGTGCGAATTGACAAAATGGAACTACAATTAAATCCAGCCAATTTAAAGTGTGTGTATTTGTGACTGGAAATATGGACACATTCAGGTTCAGGATTATAGTGACAAATTTTGGAATATTTGTAAAAAAAAAGGAAAATTTTTCAATTTGAAATATTGGTATCCAGAATAACATCCCATTTCTGTAAAAAAGAAGTTAGGCCTAAAGTGTTATAATCTAGGGAAAATGTGAACTAAAAATTTTTAATTAAAATTGTAAAACCATAACAGGAATTATGACATGCAAAAAATCTGTTCTGTTGTTTCTATTTTCAGCTTTAGAAAATAGAAGCTAGAATAAGAATTTGATAATTTTTTTTTAAAAAATCGAACTGCATCGGATTGCTTTGCTGACCCTTATTATAACCTCCACTATAGTACGGATGAAATATTCGGACCTATTACAGTTGTCGTCGGTGTCGCAAAATGAAGTCGAAGCGACGATAATGATATTGGGGTTGTCGTTTTTTGTCGATAGCGACAAATGATTGCTATTTTCACTGTCGATACAACAGTCGATGAGAAGTCGTTTTTAGATAATATTCGTCGCCGTAAAAAATTGTGACGACATTGTATTTTTTAGTCGACGTTGATATTTTAACAATTTTGTGTTTGATATTTGACCATGAAAATCACAACAGCAAAACAATTTGGAAATATTGAAGTCATTTCCGACACTAGTCTAATACGATTCTAGCGTTAAAAAACTCAATGCTGTATCCAATTGAAACAACTCTAGTTTTATAAAAACTTCGATTTTTTCGAAATTTTGTCCAGAGGTAGTTATTTTTACTGATACCGGAGAACTGATTTCCCGGATCCACTTACCCCATAAAGGAAATATAGGCATCGTTTGAAAACTTATACTCATACCTATCCAACTAGTGGTTACATGACCACCGAATACCGGCTACTTACAAAAACTGTTAAATTTAGAAAACTTTAGTTCGCCTAGCCGCTTGAACATACCCAGAAGAGAATATCTCTGGATCCAGAAAATGTATTAGCACAAATTTTATCATTTTGGAAAGGTAAGGGTGTTGATAAAAAAAATCCGGGTCTAAAATTCGAAATTTGACTATAACTTCCGAACCGCTTTAAATAACCCCATCAAATGACCACTTGTTGGATAGGCATTTTCATAAGCAATACCTATGCATTGGGTGATGAACTTCCCGGGACCACCCTCCAAGAAAAAAAATATAAATAGTTTTCCAGAGTCAGGGTAAAAATAGCTACCACTGGAACGAATTTAAAAAAAATTGAAGAGCTTGGTAAAATTCTGAGGCAATTTAAAAATCTAAAAGAACACATTAAGTACATTTTATTGTGATGATTTTAGCGCCACTATTCACCGGAATTGTTTCAAATTTGGTATTTGAAGTTCGTAATGAATATTTCAGTTAAGACAGAAAATTGTATGTGCAGGCCCACGTCTTCGTATAGCCCCCATATAACAATACCACCCGATATTAAGTATTCAGTACAGGGCTTGTTTCAAATTTGACATTTAAAGTTCGTAAGGGATGCTACCTAAGACAGAAAATTGTTTGTGCAGGTCCATGTCTTCGTATAGCCCCCATATAACTGTATCTCCCTATATACGGTATTTTTAATGATTTTTCTTACATTGATCACCGATTTTTTTCAAGTTTCACATTTTAATATTATAATGGCTTTTGACAAAAATTGCGTATGTAGGCCCTAAGCGGTCCATGTTTTCTTGCACCAACCATATAATAATACCACCCGATTTCAAGTATTGTAAACTATCTACCAAAAAAATACTGCCTGATTTCAAGTATATGGAAGGTCTGCGTGGACAATGCGTAGTCCTATACAGGGTAAGATAAAAAAAAAAACTGCCAAAAACTCAAACACCACAATGTTTAATTTTTTTTTTTAAATTTTATTGAACGAATGCAAAAAATGTCGGAAATAGCACAAATTTTAGAATAAGTTTAGATTTGTTCGAATTGGTCACTTTTGGCACGAATTATGGCCTTCAAACGACCATTGAAAAGTCACACTCTACCCGAATGTTGCTCTGCGTTATTTTGGCTCATTCCCGGCGAAGCGCTTGCTTAAGGTGATCAACTTTTTGGTATTTTTTAGACCCAACCTTGCCTTACAAAATACTCCAGACACAATAGTTCAACGTATTGGTATCCGGAGATTTTGGTGACCATTGTGCACTGGAAATGAAGCGAAGAACCTCATTTTGTAACCATTCTTGGTTGGCGGGAGCTGAGTGCTATGATGCTGAATCCTGTTGGAATGTACAAGGTCTGCGGCCAAAATGTTTGCGTGCCCAAGGTTTTAATACACCCTCCACAATATTTTCGTGATAATATTCCGCATTTATTCTGATGCCACGGTCGATTAATACGAGCGGAGAGCGACCATCGGCTGTTATGGCGGCGAACATGGTGGCCGGCACTTGAGTTCTGGTGGCCAACCGAAGGTGCACATTTTCAGCTCACCTCTTTAGGGTTTACCTGATCATTTTGTTTGTTTACAAACTGTTGGCCAACAAATGTTTTCTCACCGGAGAAAACCAAATTCGGCAGTTCACCACTTTCGGCCAAGCGAAGCAACTCTTTACCTCTTTTGAGTCTACTTTCTTTTTTTTTGGGTGTAAGTTCTTGCACTTTTTGCAATTTCAATGGCTTTAACCCGAGTTCATTTTCAAATATTTGCCGAATGGATTATTACGAAATATTCAACTCACGAGCCATTTTTTGGCCACTGCAACGCGGTTCTCTATCAAGTCGCTTCTTTACTTTTCGAACCATTTCTGCTGTTGTTGCCGTTTTCTTCCGTCCCATTTCCTTGACGTAGGGCTACGCTATCAGCTTTACGATAAGGAGCGATGGTATGAGACACAAAAGATTTTTTCACATTTAAATGCTGGAGTGCTCTAACGGTAGCCACTTGCGGTTTTCCAACCAAAAAAAAAAGTAAGTAAAAAAGCTGTAAGTTCGAACTTTTAATACCCTCCACCATATGGTACAATTTTGACAATTTCCAAAACAAAAAAAAAAAAAATAAATAAATAAAATCCGTTAAAGATTCTGTTAAAATCTTAAAAATACCGAATGCCTATACGATGACGTGGACCTGCATAGGCAAATTTTGTCATAAGTTATTACAATATTTAAATGCGAATCTTGAAGAAAAATCAAAATACCGAATGTAGGGGGTACCGGCATATGAAGGCTATAGGAAGACGTGGACCTACATGCCCCATTTTCTGGCTTAGGATTAAGAACTTCAAATACCAAATTTGAAACAATTCCGGTGAATAATGTCGTTAAAATCATCAAAATACCGAATATCGGGAGGTACCGTTATATGGGGGCTATATGATAACTTGGACCTCCATGGCCCATATACGTACTTAGCCTGCCTACTGGCAAAATATACATGTGTGCAAAATGTTAGCCTTCTATCTCATTTTGTTCGAAAAATAGCGTGATTACAACAGACAGACAGACCGACAGACACACAGACAGACAAAATTATATATATATATATATATATATATATATATATATATATATATATATATATATATATACATTGTTGGGTCTGACATGAGTATTTCGAGGAGTTACAAACGGAATGACAAAAATAATATACCTTCCATAGTATGGTGGAGGGTATAAAAAAGGAAATCACCCCATCACGCTTGAATTCCATCATGAATAACTTTTTTTCTGGAAAAATCTCACCAAAATGCTGTTGTATGTTTGTAAACAATGTAATGAGCTGTCACTGGAATAATTGTAACAGATGTCGGACGACTGGAAATGTGAACGTTTCTCAAATATTCAGTTATAACAAATTTTCAGACTAACCAAAGTTAAAGCCGCCATTACATGTTTGTAATTTAATCCATGAAAAAATTTGTTTAAAACCAATCGAATATTGACATAACCTTTAATCAATTTTGGCCCCAAAGTAAAAAAACCCATACATAAACCCTTTTACAAAAATCTACTAAAATATCAATTAAAATGTATACCCCACTAAAAAAATAATCATAAATAACAATAATCGTATTTGTAAATGTAATAGTGGTTGTAAAAATAATACAACTACTAATAAAACACACACACACACACACAAACAAACACACCAACGCAAAGAAGAAGAAAAAAACTAAACTCTTTATTTCAATCTATTTTGCAGCTGTGTTGCGGACAACACATTGGGTCGTTCACGTAAATATATGGAATTATCTGGACGCCCTGGCCCAGCTGAGTTCTATTCACCCAAATGGGGTCGTTCGTCGGACAGCTATAATCTTACATGGAAAATTGATAGTTATCCACCATTGGAGGAAGTTCGTCTACTTTACAGGCGTGTTTTGGTAAGTACCAACAACAACAAACAACAAATACATACAAAGTGAATAAAAACAGCCAACATAAATATTTATTTGTAGTCTTTGTTTTATGATGATACATATTTGCTAGTTTTGTGTTTCTGTTTCTCTCTTGTTTTTCTGTTGTCTTATTTTTCCTTGTTGCCCTACAAAAAGTAGTGGGAGTTGTAGCATTGAGTTGGGTAAAGAGCAGCCTGCTAGGAGGAAAAAAAAAACAAAAAATTGCTGATTGTTTTTTGTCATTTTGAACATTTGTGTTTCGTTGTATTTTTTTTTTTTTTTTTTAGTTACCATAAACATTTATTGCCCCTACATCCGTTATAGCATGCGGAGCAATAGTAGTAGCCAAATACAAAAAAAAACATGTTTATTTAAGGGAAATGTCCTTCCAAAAAAAGAATTAAAAAAAGGATAACAAAGAAGGAAGTTAGTTTTTATACTCCGATCAGTTATGTGTATTGTCGTCATCCAAGCGTTTGCTTTTCAACAAATCCGGTATGACAGTAGCTGCATAGGTCTGGAAACTGTGTTAATGTTGTATGACAACAGGATATGCTGCAGGAAGAAAGGCGGAAAGACGGAAGGAAGTGAATGCAATAGATTTGACATATTTGGTGTAAAAGTAACGCGCTTTTTTTTTTTGAAGTGGTTTTATTTAAAATTTAAGTGTTTTAGTTCGCGATGGTTCGAAGGTGAATTAGAGAAGATGAATGTGTTAATTTAAAGTAATCGAAACATTGTACATAATTTTACATTAATGCCAAATATAGGGATTACATTTCATGCATCTCTAGAAAATGTCCGAAGTGTTTTATCTATAAGCAGACTAACAATTTGTTTTTTTTACCCTACACCTGAAGGTGGTCAGGGTATTATGTCTTTGTGCATTTGTTTGTAACAGGCGAAAGGAAACGAGATAGACCCCGAGTTCTTTTTGATGATCGGCATAGAATCACATTCTGATTCATTTGTGATGAAATTTTGCACAAATCATTTGTTTGGCCCAAGGACGAACTCTATTGAAATTGGAGATAATCGGTAAAAATTTAGATAAGGCTTTAAAACACCCTCCAGGATATTTTCGCGATAATATTCGGCATTTATTCTGATGCCACGGTCAATCAATACGAGTGGAGAGCGACCATCGGCTGTTATGGCGGCCCACACCATGACCATGGTCGGCGCTTGAGTTCTGGTGGCCAACCGAAGGTGCACATTTTCAGCTCATGTATTTTGTGAAAAATGTACAGTTCACATTTATTACCCGATCCAGATGAAATTTTGCGCAAATCATTTGTTTGGCCCAAGGACGAACTCTATTGAAATTGGAGATAATCGGTACAAATTTAGATATAGCTCCCATATATATCTGCGCCCGATTTGCCTTTTTTTGCACCAAACGTGTAATATCAGCCCGAATAGTATGGAATTTTGCACATACAACCAGATTAGGCCTGAAAATAAGTATGCCAAATTTGATCGAAATCGGTTCAGATATAGCTATAGCTCCAATATATATTGTTCATCCGATTTGTTATTTTAGTCCTCCGCAGCCGTAATATTAAAAAATTTTTGGGAAAAATATCAAATACAGCTCAGAAATACATTTGCTAAATTTTATCGAGATCGCTTCAGATTTGGATATAGCTCCCATATATATCAAATGGGCAATACAAGTCCGAATTTAAAAGATACGCAGGCTTCGGCATATTTAATCTTTTGAACTTTAAATTATAATCATAGCGTATATTATTGAATTCTCCCATAAAAACTTTTAATTGTTATGTGGAGCTCTACTAAAGTGGTGTAGGGTATAATAAAATCGGCCCCCTCCCGACTTTAAGATTTTTTTTTACCAGTTTTCTTTCGAAAGTGTTAATAGGAATTTTTTGATGCACAATATTGGGCCTAAATTTCGTTCACTGCCTGGTTATGGACACTTGACAAATTCTTGAAAAGTATTGACTGTGGACCGAGAGAAATGTTCCATTGAGAAATTTGTCAGGGTTCAGAGGTTTTTAGATTTCAAGGAAATAATTATGTATCGTCAGTTCAATAAATGACGCAGATGTGGATCTTGACCGCAACATTATTTCACGGATTTCAATAGAATTTTGCTTTGACAAATTCAAATAAGAAATTGTTTAAGTTCTGACTGAAGGAAGGTATTGCCGGATATTTTTATGTATTCACGGTTAGAAATATTGGTGTACATAAATATTACTTCCTCCATTTTGCTGATATTTCTATTTTTTTTTTCTAAATATCCTTTTTTTATATATAACTTCAAAAAATATATATAACTACATCTCGAAGGTTTTTCAAAAAATATTCTTTAAAAAAACTACATCTCGAAGGTTTTTCAAAAAATATTCTTTAAAAAAACTACATCTCGAAGGTTTGTCAAAAAATATTCTTTAAAAAAACTACATCTCGAAGGTTTTTCAAAAAATATTCTTTAAAAAAACTACATCTCGAAGGTTTTTCAAAAAATATTCTTTAAAAAAACTACATCTCGAAGGTTTTTCAAAAAATATTCTTTAAAAAAACTACATCTCGAAGGTTTTTCAAAAAATATTCTTTAAAAAAACTACATCTCGAAGGTTTTTCAAAAAATATTCTTTAAAAAATCCACGTCTCGAAGGCTCTTCAAAAAATATTCTTTAAAAAATCCACGTCTCGAAGGCTCTTCAAAAACTATTCTTTTAAAAATCCACGTCTCGAAGGCTCTTCAAAAAATATTCTTTAAAAAATCCACGTCTCGAAGGTTGTTCAAAAAATATTCTTTAAAAAATCCACGTCTCGAAGGTTGTTCAAAAAATATTTTTTAAAAAATCCACGTCTCGAAGGCTCCTCAAAAAAATATTCTTTAAAAAATCCACGTCTCGAAGGCTCCTCAAAAAAATATTCTTTAAAAAATCCACGTCTCGAAGGCTCTTCAAAAAAATATTCTTTTAAAAAATCCAAGTCTCGAAGGCTCTTCAAAAAAATATTCTTTTAAAAAATCCACGTCTCGAAGGCTCTTCAAAAAAATATTCTTTAAAAAATCCACGTCTCGAAGGCTCTTCAAAAAAATATTCTTTTAAAAAATCCAAGTCTCGAAGGCTCTTCAAAAAAATATTCTTTTAAAAAATCCAAGTCTCGAAGGCTCTTCAAAAAAATATTCTTTTAAAAAATCCACGTCTCGAAGGCTCTTCAAAAAAATATTCTTTAAAAAATCCACGTCTCGAAGGCTCTTAAAAAAAATATTCTTTAAAAAATCCACGTCTTGAAGGCTCTTCAAAAAATATTCTTTAAAAAATCCACGTCTCGAAGGCTCTTCAAAAAATATTCTTTAAAAAATCCACGTGTCGAAGGCTCTTCAAAAAAATATTTTTTTAAAAAAATCCACGTCTCGAAGGCTCTTCAAAAAAATATTCTTTAAAAAATCCACGTCTCGAAGGCTCTTCAAAAAAATATTCTTTAAAAAATCAACGTCTCGAAGGCTCTTCAAAAAATATTATTTAAAAAATCCACGCCTATTCTTTAAAAAATCCACGTCTCGAAGGCTCTTCAAAAAAATATTCTTTAAAAAATCCACGTCTCGAAGGCTCTTCAAAAAATATTATTTAAAAAATCCACGTCTATTCTTTAAAAAATCCACGTCTCGAAGGCTCTTCAAAAAATATTATTTAAAAAATCCACGTCTATTCTTTAAAAAATCCACGTCTCGAAGGCTCTTCAAAAAATATTATTTAAAAAATCCACGTCTATTCTTTAAAAAATCCACGTCTCGAAGGCTCTTCAAAAAATATTATTTAAAAAATCCACGTCTATTCTTTAAAAAATCCACGTCTCGAAGGCTCTTCAAAAAATATTATTTAAAAATCCACGTCTATTCTTTAAAAAATCCACGTCTCGAAGGCTCTTCAAAAAATATTATTTAAAAAATCCACGTCTATTCTTTAAAAAATCCACGTCTCGAAGGCTCTTCAAAAAATATTATTTAAAAAATCCACGTCTATTCTTTAAAAAATCCACGTCTCGAAGGCTCTTCAAAAAATATTATTTAAAAAATCCACGTCTATTCTTTAAAAAATCCACGTCTCGAAGGCTCTTCAAAAAAATATTCTTTAAAAAATCCACGTCTCGAAGGCTCTTCAAAAAATATTATTTAAAAAATCCACGTCTATTCTTTAAAAAATCCACATCTCGAAGGCTCTTCAAAAAAATATTCTTTAAAAAATCCACGTCTATTCTTTAAAAAATCCACTTCTCGAAGGCTCTTAAAAAAATATTCTTTAAAAAATCCACGTCTATTCTTTAAAAAATCCACGTCTCGAAGGCTTCAAAAGAATATTATTTAAAAAATCCACGTCTCGAAGGCTTCAAAAGAATATTATTTAAAAAATCCACGTCTCGAAGGCTCTTCAAAAAAATATTCTTTAAAAAATCCAATTCTCGAAGGCTCTTCAGAAAAATATTCTTAAAAAAATCCACGTCTCGAAGGCTCTTCAAAAAAATATTCTTTAAAAAATCCACGTCTCGAAGGCTCTTCAAAAAAATATTCTTTATAAAATCCACGTTTCGAAGGATCTTCAAAAAAATATTCTTAAATAAATCCACGTCTCGAAGACTCTTCAAAAAAATATTCTTTAAAAAATCCACGTCTCGAAGGCACTTCAAAAAATAAAAAATCCACGTTTATTCGTTATCATTGCTGTTCTGCAAACGACTTTCTTTCATTTGACCAAAATTTACAATTCAAAAGCTGCCATTTTATCTTCAAAGCATTCATATTTTGCTATATATTCCGCTTAATTATATACATATGTATATACGTACGTATAATATACGCTTTATGCAAACAAACATTAGAAGATATAACAAATTATTAATAATAATTTTAATTACTACGCAGAAATCAAAGCAAGTACATTACTACAGTCAAAGTATCTCCAATTTGTTTAATATCCAAAACATGGCACTCCAATTTATTTCAATAG